ATAGGATGGCCAAATTTACTCAGGTGAGCGAGTTGGCCCATGGGTTTGAATTGTATCTCCTCAGTCGACATATCAATATTATTTTTTAACCGACAGTCTACGATTCTCGACGACGGCAGGATTTAACAATTTCTATTTTTCTCACAATTGTATGTTATTACATCTTGTCCCTTTTTGGTCCCACTTTTTTTATAAAGAAACGAATTCTTGTACATTTTCCAGCCCTTTCATAGCTTTGTTAAAAAATGAGATATTTTTATGGAACTTTTTTTCTGTCGAATATTCCAGTCTGATTCTGTAAGCATAGTTCTAGCAGCACATTTCATAACACAATGACAATCTAGGAATAGGGATTAAGGAGAAAGATAGAAGGAGGAATGGGTGAAAAAGGGAGCGTGGAGGTGGGAAATTTAGAGGGAAAGAGTAACATTAAGGATGACTATACTGAAAGTAAAGCAGAAACACGGACACCCCCTAAAACTAAAGTACCTGACCATGAACCCTCAAACACTATTACTGGTAGGTATTACACACTTTTTACAGCGACGTTAATCTCCCTAACTCGACGAGGAATTTCCAGACATCCTATAAACACGTAACAAGTTATGTATAATGTTCTGTATCCGGGAGATTGATCGCGATTACACGAAATTCCCCCGAGCAGAAGAATGAAGTCTATCTTTCTCACAGTTCTGACCGTCCCCTTGCTTTGTCATTTGACACAGGGATGCTGCACCCCCGAGCAATGGAGAGGGTACATGACGTTCCTGGTTGGCACTAACAAAAACGGGAAAGAGACATATGAGGCGGTAAGTCTATACAGCTGTACTGGAGACGGTAAGTCTATACAGCTGTACTAGAGACGGTAAGTCTATACAGTTGTACTGGATATTATCCCCACTGTTTATGTAGGCATGGTATATTTTGCTACGTTGTATCATAGGTATTTATACAAACTTGTAACAATTAACAAACAATGGCTAAAAATGTATAGAAATCTTTAAGAATACCATAAAGAGCGGCCATGGTTTCAAATGTTTTCATGTCACATTCATAAAAACATATATTATCCATATAAGGGGCCTGTGAAAAGATAAACGCTAAATGCTGTGACCTCGAATTTTCTAATTTATATTGACCATGCACATTTACCCTTAATTCCTGAATGCACTTTGAAGACAAAAATTATAAATTCTTCATAAAGTTTATCGCCTTATACTATGTAATGACCATGAGTATATATATACGGATATAAACATTCGTAGGGTATTTGAAATATGGGGTTCAAAAGGTCGCAACAATTATATCTATCATATTTTTGTACTTTCATATATGAAACATATGGAGATAACGAACAGTATTCAAGATCAAAAGTCCATAAAAACAATACAGAAAAGGAGCAGAGCAAACACGGACCTCCGAAACATCAAAGGTGGGATCTGGTGCCATGGAAGAGTTAGCATCCCTTGCTGACCGGTCACACCTGCCGTGTGCTTCTTGTCATGATCAGGAAATAATGAAAAAATCCGTCGTCAATTCATTGTGTAATTAATGGACTAACAATAAGTATTAAAAACGTTAGTCAGTATTGGACTCAATGATAAATTGTATTTGCTGACAAGGTCATTGTATCAACAATAGAACTTACAAAATGATGACTTTAATCGAGACTGCTGATAATCTTGTTTCATCAACTTGTATGTCAATAATTTACCTCGTATTGGAAATAGTTCATACGTAGAGCATGCCCTTGCTTATCGAATTAACTGAGATACATAAACTCTATATGCAGGTGATGAAGGTATATTGCTGCACAAGTAAGGGAAGTTGACGATAGAAAAATTAGTCATCACGTTTATCATAGAGCTTGGTTGTTATATTACCATTAACGTCTTTTTCAATTAAAATATATAAATATGAAACAGATTTGTCTGACTCTGGAGTATCTTTTATCTCAAGCTCACCAGGATATATCGTATCGACATAAGAATGAAAATTACAATTGTAAATTGACAATATGTCGTCGATATATCTAAATGTCGAGTTGAAGGCCACAGCAAGTATTTTCTTCTTTTCACGCATAAGATTTTACACAAATTCTGCTTCATATGAATACAGAAATAGATATTCTAATCCAAGGAAGCAACTGGTACCCATGGGATTTCCAATAGATTGTTGGAAGAGATAGGATATATAGTTTATCGCCTTATGCTATGAAATGACCATGTGTATTTAAAAAATAAATTAACTAGCAACCCAAATAAGAATTGTGGTTTCTCGCTTTCGGTGTCTTTGTGGGTGGGATATCATTTTTAATGACATATTGTGTCAAATCTTGTCATATATAGGTACATGTAATGCACATGTCAGATATGAAAGCCCCGTCTCTTCTCAATCAAAAGTTATAAGGAAGTGAACCTGATGACCCTGTATGGCAAAATACCGAAGATTCAACTTTTCTTAAATGTATATTAAATACTAGTATATATTGGTAGTTTCTTAAGAAAGGTCTTGCCACAAGTATACATACGTAAAGTATGAAAGCCCTTGCCCGAAAATTATGGCCAAGGATAAAGTTTTTAAATATTAGGTTAAATTCCAAGGTCAAATGGTCAAAGTTCTTTATATTCAATGAAATGTCTTGCCACAATTATTACATATGTGAAGTATGAAAGCCCTTGCCCAAACCATTACACAATTATGGCCAAGGTTAAAGTTTTCAAAAAGTAGGTCAAACTTCAAGGTCAAAGTCATATTTAAAATATTTAAAACGTCGCAACAATTATCATATTTTTGCGCTTGGCGAGATACCTCAATCATGCAATATTTTTATAAAGAGAGAGAGAGAGAGACCCTATGCCCTAACCATATAGACTACGAAGCCAGTGGAAGTTGATACACTTATTTTGGGGGGGGGGTTCTTAAGAAATGGGTTTTTTTCAATATTATGAAAATACGTGCACGTGATACAGCCACAGCATTTTAGGGCTTAATGGAAGACCAATCCCCACGTCTTTATGACTCCCAGGAATTTGATTGATTTTTAATAAGATAGAATAGAGATTCTTGGTCATATGCCTGTTCATATACAAGATGAAAAGTATTATTCAAATATTGCCAAATAGAAAAGAAAACACTTGCAGATCTAAATTTTTATATGATAAAAACTTAAAAATGTGTTTTGATTTAGGGAATAGTCAACCTTTTCTATGATGCCAAGAAAAAGAAAATAGCTGCTTTTTCAAAGGTCTACAACGTAGACGGCAAAATCTTCATAGGAGTAATGATCCAAAACTTTGAAGAAGTGAGTATTAAACACAGCTCAGAAATGTTACATATTAAACTTAACACATGTTAATAAACATTAAATTTTATAAAATGATAATGATGTATTTTCGCTACTTTAGGGCGTTCAATACGTTGTCCTGAATGGTGCCTGCAATACAACAAAATTGGCAGGAAAAGAATTTAAGCCTGCATGTATACCTCGTAAGTTTGTTTGGATTTTTAGGCATGGGATCAAGTCATTTTATTCTAATAATTCATATATTATGATTTTAGATGCAATTTGGACACTAACCATGTTTTTCTGTTGGAAATATCTTTAATTTTTTTAATATGGACGTTAAAACTTTTTAAGATACTAGCTGAGCATTTTTATTAAATTTTGACTAATTAAAAACTTCTTTAAATAGAATGTAAAGTGAGATTGTATCTATTATAAAAGTGGATGTCACAGTATGTAAAATTTACAATCTTCACTTAAAAAGATGCTTTATACACTTAAAAAAAATCAAGCAGCTCTGTTTTGAGTAAAATGGATCCCAAAATAATAATGTTTCATTTATTTGCAATATTTTCAAAGGACGAATATGACTTGGAGATTTCAATGATGTAAATCCATCAAATGTTAAATATTTCTATGACAATTACATTTGGTGTTATACCTCGTTCTGCTCTTTTACAGCTGAGGGCAAAAAGGTGAGTGACACCCACGTTGGGACATCTACCGATTCTCTGGGTGTGAGTACCTACGAGATCCCGCTAAAGGAGGGCAAAGGGATGTCTAACATCACTGTTTCTAATAAACTGTGCATTCCCATTGATGACAATGTTCAAGGGGGTACAGAAAAAGGTAGGAATAAAAACCCCCCTGAGTAACATTTGAAAAGATCTGTATTTTTTCTTTATGCTTACGGGATTTAGAAATTGTGTAGAATGTAAGTTAGAGAAATAACAAAGTCAGTGTCTATGGATTAATATATTGGTTAGTGCTACATAATAAGAAATTTTTGGCAATTATAAAAATATAATTGTTATTAGAAAGTTTCATGGCCAGCATTGGGTACACAGGAATTGAACCCGGGATAGAAGATCCCAGAATTTTCGACAAACCAAGGGAATGCAGAGATAAAATTGAAGAAGTAAGGAATTATTACATACATTAAAAATGCTTCCAGGAACATAATGGCAGTTTAAATTTTATATCTAAAACATAGTTTACTCGATGGTCAATGAGAATGACACCAATTATATTAAGTGATGTACCGATAAATCGATTAAATCAATTATTCAATCGAAATGGCCCCGATTATAAATAACCAATTTTGATTTTGATAATAAATTTATCAAAATGTAGGTAAAAAGCAAATTATTTCTTTGATTTCTTATTCATTCTTTTTTCAATTTAAATGAATTTTACACAATAATACTTAAGAAATAGAATCCAATGATACAGAATATATCAAAAATGTACTCTAGAAAACACTCCCTAAATTTTTACCACTTTATTCTTCATTCAAAAATGAACAAGCTGAATACTTGAAATCAATAGATTAATAATCGATTATTGTGCATCCGATTATTTCGATAAACGATTATGAAACAATACCATTTTCCCATCACTAATTATATTAATCTCTCACTATTTAGTTTGTAAGCTTTTCTTCTGGCATTTCAGGCATAAGGACACAATAATAGTACTATAATGGAAAAACTATGTATTATTTATAATATTCAGTGTCATTTTCATTATCCATCAAGTGAAATAAGCACTTTATAATACAAACCCATGCTTATGAATTAAACAATACACCAGGAAGTAAAGAACTGTTAAAGAGCTTCACTATACTTTAGACAGTCTTCAAGTACCTACACAGTATTATAATACGTCTGTATTAGCTGTACGCATTGATAAGTAATTGATACACTGTAATCGTTTTCCATTTTTTGTATTCCCTTAAGCTTAAGGTTATCCGATCCTCAGGTTATGAAAATCAGGCATTGAGTAATTGAAAATGCTCAAAAAGATGTCTCTAAATTCTCAAATTAAAATGTATTTATCCACGTCGTTTCTTTTAACTTCGTCTTTAAATTTAATCATATTATATAGGGAAAATTAATAAATCTAAAATAATTTTTCAGGAAATGCGATTTGAACTACCAACTGCATATCTTTTAATTGATAATTGATCAAGAAATACATTTTAGGAATAAAAATCATAGGTATCCAGGCTTTTAAAGAAAATTGCATGAATTTTACACTTATTTGGTACTTTACTTTCTCCTACTTACTTCAATCGTTTCATAATGCATAGTCTATGAAGTGTTTCCTTTCAAAGAAAACACCGTAAATCACTTCTAATTTCAAATCATGCTTATAAACATTGGTAACTAAGGCTAAATTAAAAGAAATATGATTTTTTTTTAATATGCAAGTTTTACTTAATTTTATTAGGTACAAATCTCAACTTTTTTAATACTGTTTGTTAAAACTTTCAAGAACATTGAATCATATGTAGAGGCATAAAATGAAAATTGTTGCATGAAAAAATTTCAATTTCAAGCTTTATTTGAAGACTTTTTGAATTAAATTATTAATTAAAGAGTTATCCTTCCTGTCTGAGGATCGTATATCCTTAATGATGATTTCTCTTTTCTTCTTAGAAAGGGTTTTATTTCTTTAATCAAGGTTTCATCAACTTAATATAATCTGTTCTTTTTCATTACAGGGGGAGATCGATCTCTTTGAAAAGTTTGGAATGCTTAACCACAAAATGTCCAGTCTGTTTAGATAAATATTGCAGTGTAGCTAACAGAAAATCCTACGAAACAACTTCTCCCATTTTGTACATGTATTGTTTTATGGACTTTGATATTAAATACTGTTCGTTATCTCCATATCTTTCTTTTTGTAAGTTTGAGTCTCTGTATTTTGTTTTTACCATTTTGTATGTACAGTTCAACGCACTTTTGAAGCTCACATGGTTTTTCGCACAAATTAAGGTAACATTTTGTAATAAAAATTACTATTTTCGAAGTTCATTACGATGACATAGCATACGTTATATTACACGTATAATGTCAAGTATAAATGTTCTTTAAAATTATTATCTTAAGTTTCCAAAGTGGATAAAACACGCAACTGTTGTTTAAAATTCAGATTTACAACTTTCTTATTCAACAACGATAAAAAATAATTACATGCAGTTATGATTTTGATTGTAAAAATATTTTTTAAAAGGAAGGAAGAGTATAGTTTGAAATGTTTTTTTAATCCGAACTCCGAAGTCTTGGCGAAAATTGATTGGACTTAATCACATGTCAAAAAAACTGCTCAGGAATCAACACCAATCATCACTGAATGACAGAATTAAACCACACCAATGCCAGATCTAAACCCGGGGTATTTTTTTCATTTATTGTAGACCCAGAATCTCTTGGAAGAAAAGTGACACTAGTTCAGCTAACCAAGCTACATTAATTGAATAGACGTATATCCAACATTCTCCTTTTTTGTAATGTGTTGGAAAGATCGATGACTTGTTAATACTGTTGTAACACCCCCCTCCCTTCCCACCATCAACACAAAAAAATTATTAAAATATATTTTAAAGCATATATAGAAATAAATACATCTTTTTACAAAATTTTGGAAGTTCTGAAAAGTACCGTATTTGACATACACGCGTACATTATTTATCTAATTGCTTGTCAAGTTATTCTAACCCCCCCCCCCCCCGGCATCTACGTTTCTGCAAAGAGCTACTGCTTTCGAAAGAACAGATAAAAGACAGCTGCAATTTGCAAGAAACCACAAAAAATCAGATAGAAACAGTTGAATATATCAAAGTTCTAAGAAATGATTTGTATGAATTATGTTTTAGTACATGAAATAAAACTCAGATAATGTAAACAAACACTTTTAAAATGCATTTGGATGTCTCAATAGTCAATACACAATGTTACATTATAATAATGTGACCTTAATTTATGCCTCCTATGAGAAATATCAGCCTGATAGTGCAGTGAAAAATAACCGAATACAGATATGCAGTTTTGTCGAATATGTCATTTAATTCAATGACATAAAGTAAAATGTATAACAAATCATTAAGGGGGATAACATAATATTAAACAATGCACGTTACATGTACATAGGTGAAAGGTACAAATGTGGTCCCCCTGAGAGTGACTAGAAATTTACATGCATTGAAGTTGAGTGAACTTATCAGAGTACATGTAAATATGCATAAAATATAACATAAATGAGTACATCCTTGGAGGCGTCCCTTAATTTGTGCGAAAAACTATGTGAGCTTAAAAAGTGCGTTGAGCTGTATTTGTATCGAATTTGTACATACTTACATGATTTTGAACAATATTCCAGATCTTATAACTATGTACCTTTTCTCTTTTTTTCTCTCGAGATAACTTCTTTGAAATTAATATCCAATTAAATGCAATCAAATGAAGTACAGGATAAAGAAATGAAATTGAGATTTTCTTTAGGTTTTGCTTTGATTTTGTTTCGATCATAACAAGGAGCATGCAGCGGATTTGACCGGTTGACAGGGGATGCTCACTTCTCCATGGCACCTGATCCCACTTCTAATGCTTTAGAGACCAATTTTCCCTGTATCTTAGCTGTAGTGGGTCACCAAAAACTCTTAATTTACTATTTAGTTAGATTACACTGTAAATGATATATTCTTAAAAAAGATACACGATATCTTTATTGAACAAAAAATTGAGTTGTCAAATTTTAATCTTATTCGTAAGATTTTTTTCGTGAAAAGGCCGCAGGCTTTTTGATATCATTGACAGCTGGGTTTTTTTTTATCAAAAATGGAACTCCTAAATTTACATACCTTGTCAATGGCCATTTGTCAAATAGTAAACACAAGTAGGCTACTCTGAATCAGATATCTAAAAATGCTTGAGTTTTCTGATTTCAATATCTATGTGGTATTTGAAGACCAGGACTTCCAACAAACTATTGATATACACATGGGTAATAATGATTGTCGTTATAAGCCGACCAATCTATATCATGAATATTTCAAGTGAATTTGACACTATTTTTATAAGAGTTTTACTTGAAGAACATATCGCATAAATATAGCACCAAGAAAAATGCACGTGAAAGTTCTAAAAATAAGTATGAATTTCATACAATATTATTCAAATTATTTGCATGAAATTTTTTAAATATAATTTATACACGAAATTCATATAATTTTCAAATAAAAAGATAACATGAATAATATTATCACGTGAGCCACTTTTCTCTGTGTAATATTTTATTTATGATCGTAAATATTTGCTCTCCTGTTTTACAACTGCAAGATATGCTTGGGTCGTATTTTGTCTGACATGTTTCATATCATTGGTTAGGTTATTGCTTTATACTTAATTTGACTATGAAGCACTACATAAACCGGACCAATAAATAGGCCTTACGGCGTCTAAGACAGATAAAAAGGGGATGCTCACTTCTCCTTAGCTCCTGATATCACCTCTGATGTTCCCAGGCATCCGTGGATTTTTTCTTTTTGTCAGTGACAGATATGTTTTCCCTAGTATATATATTTCTTTAATTTTCGTTGTTTCTTCCCTTTCCATTAGGGTCTTCATAATCTAGCAAAAGCTAAGTGAAACTGAATACAAAGACCAAAATGTCAAGTATAACGAAAAAAAATATGAATGTACATGTATATAATAATTTTATTACAGGATATACTTTGCTAAATCAGAAATAAAAATAACCAGAAATCAAATTACATGTAAAATAAAGTTGAAAATGATTTATAAATATAAACAACCATTGTACATAGAAAAAGAAATACTCAGTATAAAAGAATGTTTTCCAAAAGCGAGACGTGTCAAGCATTACTTGTTTCTACATTATAGTTTGTTATCAATGTCCAAAATACCATGTATCAAGGTATTTCATTAACTTAAGATCTTGTATGAAGTTTGATCCAAAAGTAATGTCACTGTGTCCATGCCTTTAATATTTGGCGTCATAATATCAAGTATAATGTATTAAAAGATGCATAGAAATAAATTTAATCAAAACTGAAAAATTCATTGATACTGTTTATTTGAACTGATTTTATAGACGGTTAAAACGTTGAATATAAGGGGTGTCGCTGCGTCACAACTCAACGTCACGTTTTAAAGTGCATTTTGTTAGAATGAAAAAGACAAACACATTAAAAAGTATCTAAAAAGCGTCTGATCGCCCACTATTTTAAAAGACACAATTTTACAATATTTTCTAATCTTTAGATTAAAATAAAATGCGTCATTGCTTTTTGATTATAAACATTGTTGTTTTAGTTATAATCTGATGTTTTGAACACAGGAAATGTCGAAATGTTAAAAAATCGCTTAAACGAGCTATAATGGTTTTTGCGTCAAAATGTTGAAATTGCCAGTAGAGAGAGTTACGACGGTTAATCAGACACAATGTGATGAACTTTTTTAAACATATATTCTTTTACTCATGCATTTTATTAACTTTATATAAATTGGATACATGTTAATAATAACATTAAATATTACTCTACAATTGATAAGATAATAATATATTTTATTAATATTTATCTTATCATAATTTAATAAAAAGAAATAATCCTACAGTGTACAGTGTATATTGTTTTATTTGCAACATTGATATCTATAACTTCTTTGAAATGTAAACTTTTCATTGATAGATGACTTCCTCCTATCAGCTTTCAAATGAATATTTTTATTCTTAAAATTTTTCGATCTATTTACTTAAATACAGATTTAAAATTTGATATTTTTTTTTTTTTATATCTGTCATTGTTAATTTTCACCATATTAAATTTATCTGAAATATTTTTTTTTCAAATATTCCAATCAGATGCGTAAAGTATATCTGTATAGTTCATAACAGACAATGATAATCTAGGGCTAGGGAGTGATCCTAATGTAGTCCGAATCTTAGTGTTTTATATTCGAACAATTATTTAATTTAAACACCTAAAATCAACAACTTAAACTGTGTTAATTTCTTGGGATTATTCATTGTTTGTTTTATTTATCTCACGCATGCTGATTGTAGGGCCTATATTGTACATATTTTTTTGCATGCTTGTATGTTCTCTACACTGTTTATGAGAATAAACTATTGAATTGAGGGAGAAAAATATAAGGAGGAATAGGTGAGGAAAGGCTGGGGGTGTGGACAGGTGAAATTTAGGGGGAAAGAGTAACATAAAGGAAAAACAGACCAAAAGAAAAGGAAAAACACTGACACCCCCCTGAAAATAAAGTTCCTGAACATGAACTCTCAAACAGTATTATCGGTATCCATCACACACTAATTGCATAGACATCAAATATCCCCAACTCGACGAGGAATTTCCAAACACCCTGTAAACAGGTAACAAGTCACGAGAA